GCAGGCGGAGTCCAGGTTTGCAGCACGCAGAGATCGAGCTGGCGCGGAGCGGGGCGGTCGGGAGTCCGCTGTGTGGGTGCTGTGCGGTGAGTGCTGCCGTCGCTCCTTCTCGCCGCGGGGCCGTCAGCCCTGGGCCCAATCCCTCCATCCTCCCAAGCCCCGCACCCACCCCAGGGACTTTGCTGGGCCTGCAGCCAGTCCGGGCTGACGGAGGAGGTGGGCACAGTCCCGACGGCGGATCCTTTGTTTTGCCACGACGGCGAGTGTTAGGCCGAGCACTGAAGCCCGCGGAGCAAGAGACCCGACCCGGGGCGGGAGGCTGGGCCGGGGATGTGGAGTCCCGAGCTGCCGCGCCCGGAGGGCGGGAGACCGGTCCTATGATCAGGAGGCCAGACCAGGAGCGTTGAGGCCGGAAAGCGGGAGACCGGGCCGGGGATGTGGAGGCCGAATGCGGATACCTGGCTGGAGAGGTCCAGCCTGGGGGACGGGAGGCCGAGCCAGGAGCGTCGAGGCTGGTCGTGATGGATAGGGTGGTGGGCGGGTGGGAGGCCGAGGCTGAGTAGCAGGAGGCTGGACCAGGGTCGCGGAGCCTAGTGGGGAGGGGTGAATGAGGCCGGGCTGTAGGAGGTCGGCCCGGGAGCGGGATGCAGGGAAGTGAGTGTGGTCAGGTCCGCGGGGATGAGACTTGAGACAGAAAGGGAGGAGCGGAGGCTCGGCGACGGAAAACAACGCCCGGAGGACTGGAGGCGAACCTGGTGCTATTCTGGAGGCGCTGTTCCTCACGGTTGATCCTCCCTTTCTTTGTTGGACAACGGTTTGGTTCCTGCTGTCTTCTCTCTCGAGCTTACGTTTTCTCGGGTTGACTGTGCGACTCAGTTTTCCAGAGAGGTAATTTCAGGCATTAAACTCCAAGTCCTTTTCAGACCTGAAGCCCTCTCAGAATCCTTCCATCTCATCCCTGTAACTTTGTATCCAAGGCCAAGTCACGTAGGAGCTGCTTTGAAATGCCCCCAGGCCATGTTAAATAAGAGCGCCTTTCTCACCCTTGTTACTCTTATTTTCAGTGGGTCGGCTCTTGATGCAGCTGTCTTTCGTTCTCAAGTGGCACCGCAGTCAGGAAACCAGGAACCAACTTTCTTAACCACCTCTCCCAGCTCCTTCCCCAGTTAGCCACCAAGACCCCTTGACCTCTTAAGTATCCGCTAGATCTGTCCACTTCTCTCCATAGCTTATTTAAACCCCGCTAGGCTCTCATTTGGCTACAGCAGCCTCATTAGCTTCAATAATCCCAGATCTTCTGCCCCTCTCCAATCCATTCTTTAAAGCACAGGCTGAGAGATCTTTACGAAATAAAAATCTAGAAAGCTGTTCTTTTGCCCACATGATAAACCCAGTCCCTTAACATGGCTAACAAAGCCAAATACAGGTTGGCTCCTGGATTCCCTCCCTGCCTTATCTTTCGAGTGCCCCTTTTCACTTTCTGCAAAACAATTCTGATCTTAATATCTGTTCTCTGCCTGAAACACATTCCCTGTCTCCTGCCATCACATCACATTTGCTCAAAAACCCCTACTTGTGTTTCTTTTCTTGCTAAACACTTCAAGGTTCAGTTTTCCTTTTATATATTCCTTTTACATCTGTCATTTACTAAGAAGGAAAGTCATATCCTTTGCAGTTGTTTACTTACTGTTATTCCTACTAGCTTGTAAGCAAATTCAATGAGGGACTATGTTTATCTTGTTCCTTATTGTCTTTCCCCATATCCAGGGCCTGTCACAAGTGAATGCCCACACTATAGTATTATGCTTTTTAAGAATATGTCCTATCCAGAAAAAATAAACCTGTTCTAGGATTACTTATAAATAAAATATGTGGATTAAAAAGCAATGGTAGAAGTGAAATAGGGAGTTGATGTAAAAGTGTGAATGTGCGAGATGGTAATAGGAAGTGCTAAGCAAGGTTGTTAGACCAGCCTGTATCAAAACATGCCCAGCCAGTTGGAATATGTTGTAGGTACATGATCTCTGAGGATGAAATGTAAACCTTGAATCATTCCTATCACAGCTTGATTTTTGAGCTTTGGTTTTGCCTCGCTTTTTTGCAAAAAAGGCTTTTGGAAGTTATAGTGTGTTTTAATGAGTGAATGAACAATTTATTGCAGTTTGGCAATAAAATCTGTTCAAGTAAAAAAAGAAATGAAACTCTGTGCCTATAAAATCAAATTTGCTTTTGCCATCCTGAGCAAAGGTCTTGCCTCTTACCATTTTGAAAGACTGACACCTTATCTAATACAGGCGTTTACAGTGCTTCTTTACTGTTTTGCTTTCAAACCTAACACAATCTTCTACTGCTTTATCCCCCTTCTAATGCTAGAAAGCAGTCTTTATTTTCATCAATGGCATTAAATGGATTCTGGTACCTCAAATATGGGAAGCACTGGTGTTTGGGCTTAGAAAAAGATTCTTAGACTGTTAGTTACTGTTTTGTATACACTTAATAAATACAAATGTAATGGAGGGGAATAAGTTAAGTCAGCACAGCCTATATTTACCAGCTCATAGGAGATAATGTCTATGACAGTGCTTTGTAAATCACTGTAATGTTGTTATTTCTCTGCCTATCTTATTCTTGCCTTCAAGTTACTAACAGAGCTTCTGAATTAGGATAGAATAAGATAACCTTATCTGATATGAACTTAACCCTGTCTGGCCTTGTTGAACCACTTTTGAATACCAGTGAGCATTGGTATAAGTCCCACATAGGAATGGGGACTTTGTCTCTTCCATTAATTCATACACTCAAGGTTAACTACAGTATTCTACACATAGTTGGTGTTCAGTAAATTATTATGGTGGAGGAATAGGTTACCTGAAATTTTTATGAAAGATATCCGAGATCCTTCACATGTATTTCATACAAAATATTTAGGTCTGCAGGGACTTTCCCATTTCTCCTTTTCTCTCTCCGAAGATAACATCTTAGGACCTCAGGTGAAGGGAAGACAAGATACCTTGCACATAATAAGTACTCTGTTCTTTCTGGCTTATGGCTTCGAATAGTGGAGAGCTCTCCAGTCTGTCTTTCTTGTTTTTGTTTGTATGGCACAACTGAATTTTTTATATTTAATTTTACTTGCAGGTAGTGTGTTTTCTACTTAATTACAAAATAAATACTAAAAGATCAACTTTTCCAAGCCCAATGACAATATCTGGTTTTGGTGATTCATATAAGTCCCCAAAGAACTTCAGAAACTAAATGGGAAATGATATCAATAAAACCTCTAGCACATTACAGCTGAAATCTTATCCAAAATATTGTGAAAAGTCTGTTCTTTCTGTTTCACTCACTAAATCTGGAAATGTGACTGCTCTTGAGACTTTGTCCTCTCTAATAGGTAATAAATACAGTTTTGATGTTTTGAAAATCTTTGGCAGAGATGTAGTTTCCCTGGAAGTCAAACTGGAAAGGCTTTACTTTTCCTGTAGAGGTAAATAGAGTTAGATATAGAACACATGTCTTCATGACTTATACAGAATGTTTAGCATGAATCGGTTATTTTACTTGTAGAAGTAAATTGCTCAGTGGCATCAGAAACACCACCACCATCATTTCTGTTTTCTTCATCAATTAGAGTAAGCTCACTTTATACTATTTCCATGTCTCTGAAGTCAGTTTCTATCATGTTATTTATGCTCTTTGTCTCATCTTGATTAGAACTTCTAGGTTATGGATTTTTGTTTCCTTCCTTGAAATTATCGATAGTGTTACCCCTTCTCTGTGGTACTAAGCTGTTTGGAAGAGTGGGAGTCTGCCTTCTCAAGGCAGGCAGATCCTGGTTTGAATCCTAGCTCTGCCATATAAAAGTTACTTAACTGCTCTAAGCCTCAGTCAACTGAACTATAAAGTGGAGATCATTTATGCCTCAGAGCATGGTTAGAAAGACTAACCAGAAATACATAAATAATATATACCCGCATACATAAAGGTACCTTTTAGCTGAGTCTTGCCTGTATGAGCCAGCAGTAAGAAGAACTGGTGTTATACAACACTTTGTACACAACACTCAAGTCACATATGGTGTTGTGATTCTTTGGCCTTTTTTGGGGGGGGAGGGCTATCCTTTTTGTTAAATCTCTTCTCATAATATATATTGTTTAAAATATTCCTATTATAGAGGTGATTCAAAAGTGAGCAGTGTTGGTTCTTATGTCTCAGTTTTGAGATTTAAAACCCATTTAATAGAGACCAGGCACCATGAACAGCCTACTGACAGGTGACAGGTTAGCTGAGTAGGAATCTGAAACTGCTTATACTAATTTAATATCTCATTTTGAAATCTCTACCATTAGAACGTTTTCAAACTATTCATTTTTAATAACTTTTAAAATTTTAATACTTTATAATTTCATATTGAAATTTTAGTTTTAAGTTAAATTCTTCTGCTTTAACTCTGTAGATGATTTATTTTGCTTTATTCTTTATTGCATTAACTTTTGAAGAGCTGCCTGTTGTGGCTTCAGGGGTGAATATTAAAGGATCTAGGAACTAGAGACAATTCTAAGACCCAGGTTCCATGTTGATGTCTATTTCATGTGGTCTTTTAGAACTTCTCTGGGACCTAATATATGTTCAGAAATTTAACTTATTATCATCAACATCCTGTATTGATGGAAATAATTACATTAGTACAGTAAGAAACAGTGTTGTCATTGCTGTGTCAGGAAATATTTTTTAAACCCCTGTTATTATTTTTCTATCTATGTTTTGTCCAATGAAAATGTTCTAAAAACTTAAATTCCTGTTATCATTTAAGGCATTAATTATTTCCCTTGGGGGATGATTTTTTATTCGTCTAAGATGAGATCACCATCCCCAGAGCAACTCATATGCAGCCAGGCGTTAGCTAATGGAGGTGAGGTAATGCCAAGTCAAACACCAAGTTCTGCAAGAACCAAAGCTCTGCTCCCAAGAGTGTGGAGTTGATGTTTTCATGTGGGAAAGCAGATGGTGACAGCAAATGTGCACATGTCTGCTGCAATGAGGATTTCATTACCATTATATAAATTTTTAATAGCATATGACATTCAACTGATACTGTTGCAACATATAGTATTCAGATACTAATAATGAAGAGAACAGAATACATTATCGTACTTGTTCCTGAGAAATCCTTATCAAATAAGACACTGTTTTAAATCCTATTCTAAAAGAATCGGTTATTAAAAAAATTTCAACCACTAACATTACTTACTGAAACAAAAATGTCTATCTCATGTCTGATATCAGAAATTATTAAATTACAGTTACTTGTATAAAGGCTGACCTATCTGAAACTTTTTAACTATTGCGAGTTATTTGGTTAAAGAAAATCGATTAAACGTATGAAGAGAAAATGACTACTTAAAAATCACCTAATATTTAGATGAAAACATCTTAGTATGAGCCGAGAAGCCAAATAGTCCTTAAAACTCTGGAAAGCTGGTCACTATTTAGATCCAAACCTTCCATTACCAGTCACATAAGGATAGAATTGTTTCATCCCACAACTTTATTGTTGGCATAAGATAAAAGGTTGTTAGAAGTTTGTATTAGTCTAAGAATCACTGCACTATAACAGATCTTTCGGGCCTTCATCGTTGGTGGGAACCTATCAGCATTTCAAGGTTTTGAACACATAGTATGTAACCTACATTTGGCAAACCCATTCAAAGGGCCAATTCGAGACAAATCCTGGCACCAAAAAAGACACCAGCAGGAGCTCCAGGTTCAGCTTCAGAAATTTTCTTTATTTATTCTTCTTTCCCACTGTGTTTTTCACTCCCTAGTTTCTACAGGCTGGCCATAAAGTCTTGTAACATAGATAATATTATTTTCTCATGGATTGTAATATAACATCAACAAACCACTTATTATGTATTTGCCTATGTTTCCAGAATTGTTAGCCACCCTGTACTGTTCTCTCAATTAATCTAATTAACCACGACTTTGTTTTCAACCGTGGATGGATAATTATTTTGACTTATGGCCTGCTAACTTAAAATTGGCGCGCAGAGGGGCAATTGGTCTCTGTGATATTTATGGTTCAAGGAAGTTTGAGATTTTCCTGTACCTAACACATGTTTATTGTATGTATGAAAGAAAAAAGAAAGGCAGATAGACTGGAACATGGTACAGAGCAGTGAAGGAACTTTTGCTGCTTTCAGAGTGGTGGAGTTACCACTATTTTTGTTAGTTTTGAAACAGGGCTGGGACTTGAAATGGGCCAGCACAATCCTGGTTGATGCAGTCTGCCACTGTTGATAAATATGACTTTATAAAATAATTTCGGTTACTATTTTCTAACTTTAAAAACAATGTAGATGTTACAGAAAATTTAGAAAATAAGGAAAAATATTAAGGAGTGAATAAGTTCTCAGTAGTTCCAGCACCTAGAGATGCCACTGTTATTAAATAGAGTAATATGTAAAGATGCTATATAATTACTTTTGGTCTTTTTATTTAAATTGAGATTGTATTTTATATAGTTTTAGAGCCTATTTTTACTTAGTCTTATAAGCATTTTCCATGTTATTGATAAGTTCTTTTAAAAAGTTTTATAGTTGTATTAACCAGTATACAGATAGGTCATAACTGTTTTCTCTACTCAGATTCTCAGTGTTTGATGAATAATGCGTATCCTTTTCTCATCTGTCTCTCCCTAATCCTTGGGATTATTTCCTTAGGCTGCACTGTTAGACGTGTAATTTTACTAAGAAACTTCAAGGCATTTGTTGAGGGGCGGGAGGTTATATTGTCAAAATGTTCTCAAATGATAATACCAATTTATGTCTTTTCCAGTAGTATATGGCAATGCCTCTCTCATACACCTTTGCTAGCATTGTGCATGATTAGTTTTTGGTATTGGTAAAATACATGGGTAAGTACACGTGAAAGAAGAGACAAGTCATTTGGAGATTCTTGTCTCATAGTTTATCTTCTAAATACAGAGAAAATGGGTGCAATTGTGTGAGAAGTATTCTCCTTCCACCAGCCTTCATATATTGTGCCAAATAGTTTGTCTTCTGCCCACTACAGTGGGTGAACTCTCACTTGTTCTTATCTGAGACTAATGCGTCTCCAAATGTGAGGCATCCCTTCAAGAACATTGCTCATTCTCTCCTTTGACTTATTAACTTCTCGTTTTCCATGGATCATTCTCATCAGCATAAAAACATGCCTTATATGACCCATCTTTAAAACCAAACAAAACAAGAAATTTCCTCTATTGCTTGCCCCCTCTAGATACTACCCCATTTCTCCATTCCCCTTCACAGCAAAACTCTTTACTTACTTTTGTTGTCTTTTCTCATTTTCATTGTCTCTTTCAAGTGTAAAAATGGGCTGTTGTGTAAATATAAAGAAATGCCAAATATTTTATTCAGTTAATTAATAGAACCAGTAAGGTGGTAAGACCAGTTCAAAGGAGAATTTGAAGAACAAACATATAGACCATTGGGTATAATGAAATGAATTTGCTAATAGAAGTAAAACTGGTTAATATCCTGTAGGTCAATAAAATGTAATTTGAGAGGGTCATCTTTTCTACAGTTTGGAAATCTTTTCTATATCATAAGACAAAACTCATTTTCATTGCTATAGGCAAGAATCATTTGCATGGCTGTTTGCTATGGCTTAACTTCCTACAGTGTTGTAAAATAGCCTAGTCAGTAGAAGGTCAATCAAAGAGGACACCCTATAAAATCAAATAATCCCTGAGATTCCTCTAAACAACACCCAACACCACAGTAAAATTATATCCATTAATTTCTTTTGCCCATTTCCAAGTCTTAGACAGTTTCTCCTGACAATCTCCACAATACCCATGACCTCAAGCCAGTGGTTTTCTCACCTGAATTGCTAAGAGGATGATCCAGACCTACTAGTATTCTGCACCGTCCTCTTAGCAAGATTTGAAACGGTCAGACGTTCCTCGAAAGACTTCTGCATGCTTTGGTACACCATATTCAACTGATTTTACCTTCCTTTGACTCACCTCTCTTTAGTCTCTTGCTGGCCCTACTTCCTCTAGTAACCCTCTAAATACCAAAGTGCCCCAGTATATCTCCAGCCCTGATTTATTCCTGAGTTCCAGCTTCTTATCCACCTGTATCCACTGCTCAGCTGTAGTTCAAACTATCATGATGATTTTCCAGAACTATTCCAGAAGGCTTTTTTGTTGGCCTATGCGCTTTCACTCTAACCTTCTACAATTGATTCTCCACTCAGCTGCCAGAGCGATCTTTTTAAAGCATGCTGTCTCTCTTCTGCTTAAAATACTCCAGTGGTTTCTCCTTGCAATTAAGATAGTCAATGCTTCTCTTGGCTCCTAAGGTGATCTTGCCTTTCCTACTTATCTCCCTTCACTCCTTCCCTTTACCATGCACTAACCGAACTGGTCTTTTTTCTGCTCTAGGGTGAATGCACCAGACTCTAGCTGGTCCTTCCCCCAACAAAGACAGACCCTATTGGTAGCCTTCATGTTGTTTAGATCTCAATATGTCACCTCAGAGATGGCTTCCCCAACCACCATAGCCAAAGTAGCTCACACCCCTAGTCTCTTACCCTATGTTATTTTCTCCATAGCCCTGTCACCTTATTATCAATCTGGAATTATTCTTCCTCAGTTAAAAAAGAGATTGAGAGAGAGAGAAATGAACTACATTACACATACCTTTACAAAGGATTATCTTCAGATTTTACTCCCCGAAACTTGTAACAGTAGAGGTGAAGCTAGGGGAGGAGTGGTAGCGCTGATGTGAAAATGTCTCTATAATGTTTTAATTTGGAGAAATAATCTTTAGAATAATTAATATAATTCAGTGATCTTAAAATGATTGATTTTGATTAACTTCTGTTTTCTTTACATTCTAGTTAATAAAAGCATCCATGGAGAACATTAAAAACTCAGTGGATTCAAAATCCATTAAAAATTCAGAAACGTGAGTATTTAAATGGATTCCTGTAGAATCAGAGAAAGATGGGAGTGATACAACAGCAAACATTGAGGAGTGGGGAAGCAGAAAGAATATGGGCTTTCGAGAGAGAGAAACCCTGTTGACTTGCCACCACAATAGCTGTGTGGCTTTACACATGTTAGCATATCCTCTCTGAATCTCCCTTTTAACATAAAACTTTCACTGAACTGTGGGGAGGATTGAGGGAAAGACTAGGAGAGCCAGAACCATAGGAGAGCCAGAACTCGAAAGTCTCGGTGCTTCTGTACCTTCCCAAATCACTCTGCAGTTTGAGAGGTTTTGTGTTTGGGGGTTTTTTTGGCCTCCTGTTCATGAGTTTTAAGACCGAAATGAAATGTCATTTCTCAATCTAGGAAAGAATTGCCTGGTTATAGATTATCTTTTACCTTTTATTTTTCTCAGTCTTTTTGGAATATTCTGCTTATTAATGCTTCTAATAACCAACAAATGGAGAAGGGAAAAAGATAAAACTTAAACATTCTTAATTCATTTGGGATCTCTTGTGATATTTTTAATTCTACAAGTTTATTTCTGAGACCTAGTATTTTCGACCATTCAGGGAATTACAAACTAATTCAAGTACTAAACAATAGTATTACAGCAGTACTATTAACAGGTTACCAATAAGGATTTAGCTATGTTTGTTTAGCAAAGGAATTTTCCTAGAAATTAAGCGTTTGAAATGCGATCTCATTTTAGAGGTTTTTAGTTTGTTTTTTCTAAACCCATTTGAAGTGATCTACATATTTTCCTATCTTTTCATATCATACAGAACATAATTTAATAACAAATCGTATGGGAGCCCAAAACAGATTTAAGTCCGTTTTGATCCTGTGATGTTATCATGTTCCTATGCTTTTGGAATCTGTTCTGTATCAGGCGTGCCCTCCTATCATCCTAGCTATCTTATTGCTGGTAGAGGAGTACCCACTTGCTAAGAAGGCAGTAGGAAGTGGTAGAGAATTAATTACAGTTTTGTGATCCATTATCTGTATGACCTTCAAGAAGTCGCTCAATTTTCAGAGATTTAATTTTCTCATCTGTAAAATGTGGGGATCTTCACTTCTAGCTAAATGTAATAGTTTGTTTCTAACCTTGACTGCTTTAATTTATAATCTACTGTTTTAATCTTTTTCCAACAATTTTTTTTTTAGAATTGTGCATAATATGAAATAACTCTTAGGTAAAGCGCATTGGTACATGGACTTTAGGTATCAGTGTTTGTTCCGAGACCTGTTGTTTCCTGATTCTTGGTGGATCAGGCATCAGACTTGCAGTCGGTTTTGGTTACGTTTTATTGAAACATAAGCACACCTGTTCAGTTTAAATATTGTCCTGGGCTACTTTCACAAGCAGAAGGCAGTATGCTACAGATACTATATAGCTTGCAAACCTGAAATACTTAATATTTGGCCCTTTTGAGAAACAGTTTGCTGACCCTGGTCTAAGTAACAGAGGTTTCTGGATAAATGACCTTCGGACAATTGTTTTCAGTTATTTACAATAGAGATTTTATGTTTTAGTAAATTATTACTTCGTTCAGCTCAGGTTTTCAGGAACAATTTAGGAATTTTTGAATAAATACTATGCTTTGAGTCGTATTTGCTCTTTTTTGGTTTCGTTTCATTTCAGGGTAATTTTTAAGATCTTACTGTTATCTTCAAGGATAAAATATTTCACAAAGCTGCAAGAAATTTCTAAGGTGTAAAGTGTTGATGAAATTTTTATAAAATGTAAAGGAAAACAATATATAGAGGTTAAAAACCTGAATTCTGAAGTTCAACAGATGCTGCAGCCTTGGCTCTGACACAGTACCCTCATGACCGTCAGCACATTGCTTATCCTCATGGTGGTCCTTTCCTCATCTATGAAATGGGTTTTTGTGAAATTTAAGTGAGGAAAAAAAGCCTGTCACACACAGTCTGGCCCATTTCATTCAACAAATGTTAGCTGTTCTTATGTGTTACAAAGTTGCATTGGTCATTTTTACCATTGTAAACTATCATTTAATTTCCAAACAGAAAGATTTTACATGGAAGCAAATCAATGGACTCTGGAATATCCTTGGACAATAGTTACAAAATGGATTATCCTGAAATGGGTTTATGTATAATAATCAATAATAAGAACTTTCATAAAAGTACTGGTATGTATCATTAAAATGATTTTTAACTCTTTTCAAATATTCGTGCCATGTATATTTGGTGTAATATAAAAAACAGTATAGTTGTTATTAAACTGTGACACAGACTATCCATGAAGTAGAGCTAGAGCAGGACCCTACAGGTTCTACAAGACAACATGAACTCTTAATCTTCTACCCATTATCAGAATCTCTTCCTCTTCCAACAGCTAGCCTGCTCTCTGCATGTCGGCCTCTTCCACCCTGACTTCTCTTATAACCTTTGCTTCTTTAACCTCCTGCTCCCTCTTTCATGCTAATGAAAAGATCTTAACAAATAGTTAAAATCTTTCCGGGAGCTATAGGGTACCTCACAGGTATTTTCTCATTTATTTTTTACAACAACTCTGGGAAGGAACCATTCTTTAAAAACTGAAAGGGTAAATGCACAGCGTCCCACAGATGATTTAGTAGCAGAGCTGGCCTCAGCGTTGGTGTGCCTGACCCTCAGCTGAGTTCTGAATCCCCCTCTTTCCTGCTTCACTTCCTGTGGGCTATTGATTTTTTCCTCTTCCCTACAAAGATGACAGATTCCCCGTCTCAAAGAGATCTTTCTTTTAGCCTACTTCCTCTTAAGCTTTGATCTGATTTTGGTCTTCTTCCCTAAATTTTGCAAACATGTACTTTAAGCTTGCCATCTTCACTTCCTTCCATCCCCCTTGAACCTGTTTTCCCTGTTTTTTACCCCTACCACTTTATTGGAACTCCTCTCTTAGGTTCACCTTAGCCTGATCACCAGATCCCCTACTCAATCTCTCTACTGTGTATGATTTGAATCTAATAATACATTTCAGAATTTTTTTAGAGACAATAAAAAATGAAATTTCTCACAATCCTAAGAAGTTAATTAGCATCTTGATGTATGGCTTGATATTTTTTCCTTGACAGTTTCTTTCAAAGATTAATTTTATTCATAATGTATAAGAACATTGTATCCTATTTGTTCCACTTCATATAAGCATTTTTTCGAGTTGCCGTATAATTTTCATGTTATTTTAATGATTATATAATCCATTCCCTAAATATACTGTTCGTTTAATTTGCATAAATTACCCTAAGAGTGAACATTTTGGCTATCTCTCCATTTTTTCATCTTCGAATTGATGCCATAGTAATTCTTTTAATTGGCATATTAACCAAATTTGAACTAATTTTTAAAGAAACTAGAAGCGCAGCAGATCCAATTTAGGATGCTGGTGGTGAAAATGGAAAGAAAGCCAAATTACACTGGGAGTGATAAGCAGGATTTGGTGTGAGAGTAATAATAGGAGTGAGGAAGAATAGTCAAAAATGGATGTCTAAATCTGATTGGCACCATTTTTATTGCTTTTATTGGCTATAAATTTACATACCACCTTCAGCCATTAAGCATTGTCATTCCACTATTCCCCTAAAAAATACTTAGACCAGTAGTATGACTTTAGCTCCTTTTCTGTCTGAAATTTGAAGGTCAGGTTCTCACAATGATCTCTGACTGTCTGGCGTTTTCTATCCTACTAAGTGCTCACAAACCAGGGCCAGAATTCAGTCACCTTGTCACACAGTTGCATGGTGTCCTCAGCCTTTCCAATGATAAAACATTGATGAGCTCATTTTAAGTTTATAAAAATAATATATGCCTTTAATAGAAATTTTAGAAAGTACATATTAGCCAAAGAAAAATTAAAATCACTCATAATCATACCACTCAGAAATAATTAATATTTTTGAGATATAGACACGTATTCCTTTTTCTATTTATAGATCTTAAATTTACTCAATTCTAAAGCGCGTTCCCCACAGCACTTTAGCATTTTTAAATCTGAGTGCCTCATACAATCTGTACATGTATGTGGAAGGTACTGTAAAGGAGCAATGAAAGCCCCGGACCCCTGGATAGAGGTCTAACACTAGCTCCGTTACTTAGGACAAGTTCTCGAATTCCTATGTGCTCCATGTCCTACATCTATACAAATAAAGCTAGTCATAATAACTCTCATAGTGGTTGGAAGGATTAAAGGAGATTACCATAGCAGAATGCCTAATGAACAATATTAATGTGGTAGTGGTTTCTGGGGGTTTTTTTTTCCTTGAAAAGATATTATGAAAGTAGTCATATATCTTAAAATTGTTGGGAACTTAAAATCAAAGAGACAGTTCTGAATGTGTGAGATATATCATTATATATATATATATGTATATATATATATATAAAAATTTTTTTAAAAAAAATAGGATCCTATTGTTGTCTAGTCTTTTTTTTTTTAATGACCATTTCCCAGGGAACATTTGAGATCTTGCTCCTTGGCATAAGTCATCAATTTAGCTCAAAAACTTATAAAAATTAAAAAAAAAAAATTCTCATGGCAAAAGTTTGTCTATAAAAATTTTTGTGGCAAATAGTATTCCATCATAAATGAATCCCTCTTTAGGCATTTAAGTTTCTGTTTTTTACTGTCTAAGCAGCTGTGAAATATATCCTTGTGACTAAAACACATTGGCATCTGCTTACATTATGATACATTGATAGAGCTTACATTATGAAATATCTTACATGCTAAGAAATTAAAAAGACTTTGTGTCACCATGATAAGAATAATTGAATTTTCTTAGCATTTGAAAGGAAGATTTATTGTGGATCGTGTAAATCATTGAATAGGTCATTTCATTTTAGAGCAGTTAATCTTTTTTTAAAAAATGCAGTTAATAATAATTCTTTCTGTTCCAAGGAATGGCATCTCGGTCTGGTACAGATGTAGATGCAGCAAACCTCAGGGAAACATTCACACGCTTGAATTATGAAGTCAGGAATAACAATGATCTTACACGCGAAGAAATTGTGGAATTGATGTGCAGTGGTAAGAAATAATTAAAAGAATGACCTTCATTGTCCAATTTTATCTGAGGACAATTTTATTGCCCAAGGTCTAGTCATAATTATACATATAATAGTAAAGCCTAAGAATTGTGGAACTTTACTGTAAATAAAATCTTCTCTATATTTTATATAAGTAAAATAGAAGTTATTCATGCCAACTTTTAAAATGCTTTGAGGTATGTTGCTCTTAGTTCTGTTCTCAAGTTTCTTCATCTTATTCCCATACATTATATATGAGATTGTTGAATAAAGTTGCATTGTTTTTGTTTGTTTTTTCTTATTTGTAAACTTTTTCCAGTTTCTAAAGAAGATCATAGCAAAAGGAGCAGTTTTATTTGTGTGATTCTAAGCCACGGTGATGAAGGAATCATTTTTGGAACAAATGGGCCTGTTGACCTGAGAAAATTAACAAGTTTTTTCAGAGGAGATTATTGTAGAAGTCTAACTGGAAAACCCAAACTTTTCATTATTCAGGTAATATATAACTGAGCAACTTGGTTACTGAAGATGTATTGGGGATTAATTTACTTGATTGTGGACTATTCAAAGGATTAATTTTTTTCCCTGCAGCTACTGAACTATCGTTACTTTTTCATTCATTTAAACCACCACTAAGGAGATATAGAATAAATTCTAATTTCAGATGTATCAAAAAGTTCCTGCATAATTAACATCAATTTTTACATAGCCTTTGCATCTCTTAGAAATCAATTAGGTGTGTACACACATTTTTTTTGAATAAGCGTTTATTTTCTAACCTCCAGGCCTGCCGAGGTTCAGAGCTGGACTGTGGTATTGAGACTGACAGTGGTGTTGAAGATGACATCACGTGTCAGAAAATACCAGTTGAAGCAGACTTCCTGTATGCGTACTCTACAGCACCTGGTAAGAAAGTTACAAATAATGTTATGTGTACATTTTAGACAATGGAGGGTATGTTCCAAAGACTGTCAATATTTTGATATCCATAAAAAATAGCTAATTGTTGGTATTTTAGGGTACGTTAACCACAGAGAGGTCTCAAAAAAGTTGTTTTTAGCCAAGTTTGGCTAGAAAATGGGCATATATAAGAAAGCATACTTACACAGTGTCATTCATTAACTTAATACAAGATAGGATACTTTATTGTAATATAAACCAACTCAGAGCTACATCCACTTCTTGAATAGGGGAGAGGTATGTTTTGCAGGAATTCTTTGGAAGATAGAAAATAAAAGGTAAATATTAATAGTACATTAGAGGGAGAAGTGGAATGAGGGAAAAGAAAATAAAAAATGATATATGTGGTTGTGTTGCACATGTCATCATATAAATATTGATCATTATACGACTAACTCAGAATGTCACAAAGTTTGGAAACACAGGATAAATGTATTTTTAAACAGTGTTATATTTTCAAATATGCTTAATATGATTTCTTTTTAACTCAGGCATCTTTCCAGGTAAAGTACTTATAAATTAAAAGCAATGGATTCATAGCTAATCTGAAAAAAGTACAATAAATACACTTTCACTTTTTAAAATATTCTGTCATGTGTTTATTATGCTTTATTCAGATGCCATGTAGACAAATTTAGGACACTTAAATGTATATGCATACATGCAATTTATTTCTTGGATAAGCCAATAATCTGATTGTAACATCATGCTACTTATAATAGTCCTTTTTTATATCTTTGCTTTTGCTTCTTCTGTGTGTTTATCTGTTCTTCCCCATGGGAAGGGAATCCCAAGAAGTAGAACTCTCAATAATTCAATGGTGAAGTTAGGCCACAACTTTTTTTTTTTCCTTACCAAAAGCAGAGGTGTATGCACAACACGTTCCCCGCCTCACACCCCGCCACCCCCGCCTACCTCCTCCCTCCAGCATAATTTCCCCTGAAACCGAAAGTGTCATTTATTTATTTTTTTCCCTTTTATGGATAATAATACCCGTGGAAGTTTATGCTTGTTTTACCTTTATGATACTCTAATAATTTATAAAGTCAGATATCCATGGTTTTGGTTATATTTTGCCTTGTAGGTTACTATTCCTGGCGAAATTCCAAGGATGGATCCTGGTTCATCCAGTCACTTTGTGCTATGCTGAAACTGCACGCTGACAAGCTTGAGCTTATGCACATTCTTACTCGAGTTAACCGAAAGGTAGCAACAGAATTTGAGTCATTTTCCTTTGACTCTACTTTTCATGCAAAGAAACAGATTCCATGTATTGTGTCTATGCTCACAAAAGAACTGTATTTTTATCACTAATGAAATGGATGATTTTTTTTTTTTAGTTTGTATGCCAAATGAGGAAATGATGTAACTGGTATTGAATTTTCCCTCATTTAAACCTAATCTACTACTTCAGGTGGAACTTTGAAACATGCCACTTTCATAGCAATAGAACTACTATGAAGCTACCTCAAACTCAAAATCAGGTAGTCGAAATTGAATTTAATTAGGAATAAAGAAATGAATAACAGTACAATCATTATGAGAGGAAATAATTGTAAATTAATAGCTCTCATAATTAGCAAGTTTTAGTGATGCTATCCTATGAATTTTCAAGTAATTAGAAAAAAGTTAAACATAGTAATGAATTTCAGTGATATTGATATGCTCTCATTTAAGAGTATTAATTCTAGTTTTTGTCGAACTATGGAAATGATTACGTGGAATAATATATCCTAGAATTTAGGGATTCATGTGTATGGTCAGAGGTTTGAAACCTTGATTTTAGAATTGGTATCTGGAGATAAATCAGCTGTATTTTTAGATCATTTGTTTGAGCGCATGGTTTTGTGGTGTTTGTCCGAAGCATATCTTTAAAAATCATGCTTAATATTGAAAAAGAAACTAAATATTTTACTTGAAAGTGTGAGCAAACTAAGCTGACTCTTTTAAGACTAACTGCAACTTTAATAGAGGGAGACAAAGTTAGGTCTATAAGGTACTGAAAGGCAGCTCATCCACCAGCAGATGTATCTTATTGTTTGTCCTCATACAATCTCTTGAGCCTCACATACCAGCAAAATACCTGATATACTGTTAGGTAAAAACCTCAAACTATTGATCAAACCGATACATTGAAGAAATTCTGTAAGAACATACTAAAATACAACTTAATATGATAAACAGTGAAATGTAAGGAACAAATCGTAAATCAGTCAGCTGGGCACTCTAATCAGACCATGATTTGAGCCTGAGCACAGCACAGTCTGTAATAAAGGCAGAATCATAGGCCACGGCTTCAGGAAAAGGACTGCTAATTTCTTCACGTGTACTGCTGTGTGTGGAGGATGTCCCCAAGGCAGGGATCTCCAAGAAAGTGAACCAAATCAGAAACTTTTGAGATGGAAACTTTCAAACACAGTGAGAGTCACAATAAAAACCATAGTACCCTTTGTAGTAGAATTTTTGAGCACGTTATTTTTTGTTCAAGTTTCTGATCAAAGGAAAATGATATTGTTATAATTATCGCCTGTTCTCTGAAATGAAAGGACCATGATACACAGGACTTTAGAAATCCAGTCTTCCCTTGATGCATGGGGAAACTGAAGGCCAGAGAGGAGAAGCAGCACAGCCCCCAGCCCGGGAGGCCAGGCTCCAAACTTCCTCACTCAGGGAGCTGATAAGTTGTCCCTGCATCATTGTGTCTCCCTGGTTTCCTGTCACATATTTCACATGAGTTTTCTTTTGCTGAAAAAAAAAAGAAACTCATGTTTATAAATGACAGCTATTTGGATTATGTAACTTTTTCTAAGTAAATGAAGCATGTAACGTTATCTTAAGGTGTTTCCAAATTTTGTAAAAATTTGTTGCTATGACTTTTTATTTGAAATATAAATTCTGACTTAAAATTACCAGCATGTTCTAGTGTTTTTTGTTGTTTCTGTTGTTGTCCTACTAATTGAAGTTAAAATATTTTTTAACCAAGTGCTTAATTTAGGAGGGCCAAAAAGGATGCAACAGGACCCTATAATCAAGTATTTTGAGATGGCAGCAAATTACCAAATAGGATAGGCAGACCTCTGTTCTTCCTGGCTCCTCTCTAAAATGACCATGTCAGGAAGGATACTAGGTTTGTATAGATCACCATCCCTAAATATGACCATAGTTTTGTTTGTTTGCTTTGTGGAAATATAAGTAACAGAATATATAAGATATTGCCGAAATGAAACATTTTCCAACACATAAATTTTAAATATGGCTAATGGAGGGGTGAGGAAGAACTAGGGTTATATACAGCAAACCACGATATTCACTGATGGCCACCTCTGGGAGATAATGTGACAGGGGAAGATGGTCCCTTTTTATTTTATGTACATACTTAGAAAAGGAATATAAGAAAGTATGAACATGGATTATTTAAAATTTTTTCCAATATTTCTATAATGAATATATATTACTTTCAAGTCAGAAAACTAAATACAATTCTTCTGATTGAGAATAGGAGATTACTGTTTCCAGGGAGTAGAGGGTGGCGTGAATAACTTTAAGACTCTCTTAAAGCTACGGTTCTGTAATGTGTTGAGAAAATCGAGCCCTTTCTAACCTCTCTACTCTATAAAGAAGTCTTAGAATAACCCAGTAGAAAAATAGACCAGGGCATGAACAGACAGTTCACCGAAAAAGACCAAATGTCCAGATAAATAACTTAATCTCCATCATAATAAGAGAAATGCAAATTAAGGTATCATCTGTTATCTAGTAGATTGACAAAAATCCTTAAGTTTGATAACATTCTGTTGGTATGTCTATGGGGACATGTATTTTCCCTTTGCTGGGACTGCAAAACGATGTAATTCACGATGGAGGAGAATCTGGCAATACATCAAATTATTTAGTCTTTGAAGTAGCAACCTCATTTATTAGAATCCAAATTACCTATAGACCTGTACATGTAAAAAATTATATACACAATTATTCATCACAACATTGCTTTAATAGTAAAAAATGGCAGCAACCCAATTGTAAAAACAAGTTAAATACACTATGATGCATCCACACAGTGTAACACAATTTGCTATGAAACAGAATAAGGGGAATCCTCCTCAACTGATAGGTAGAGATCTCCAGCATGTATAGATAGGTGAGAAGGGACGAAATACAGTACACTATGAAAAAAGGGAGTGGAGGGATAAGAATGCATTTGCATAAAGAAACACCAGAAAGATAAAAAAAAAAACTAATAGAAATGGTAGATGAGGACAAATAGAAGTGAGATTTCTCATGTTTACTTTATGTCATTTTGACTTTAAAACCATGCCAGTGCGTTATCTGGCTTCAAAAGTGGAATTAAAGCAAAGGAGTGGGAGTGACACCAAACTATCTCAGTAATGAGAACATAAGTCAGTATAAGAGTAAGGGTGGGGAGGGTGCCATAGCTTTCCAACAGCCATGATATGGGATTTTGTTTAGCTTGTTTATTTCCTGCTTTACCTCAACTTATACATATTAGTTGAGAAATCATAACTTGCTTAATATTAGAACTCGAGTCTAAAGTAATTCTCAGTATCAGCTCTTTAGTTGAAGGAGCAAACTAGAATATCTATTCACATTAGTTTCTTAATTGATTCTCTAACTGTTCCATCCTTATCCTTTGTAATATGATTATAATAAATTATTACCTGGTGAACAGGTCAACAAATATCCACAGAAGAATCTTCATGCACAGAATCTCTACCATCTGCTACATTTGTAATGAAAAGAACTGAGGAACTGACATGTTTAGGAATGTTCAGAAAAAGCGAATGTCTCTCAAGAAAATGTTTTTACCAAATTTAAACTTGGTACAATATCTATTAAAGTAGCATGGTTAAGTTGAAAGAGCTCATTATCTAATCTATAATCTTTGTTTTTAAGTGACTTAGATGTAAGCTCAGGGACCTATAGCCCCACACGCAGTTCCCTTCAAGGGAAGCATGCTTGGCCAATTTATTGAAAGCTAATTCAATGATTCTATCAAAATAATTCCAAAACTCATTACTGCCTAGTAGGTTTAGGGAGCGTTGAGGAGGCTGTTGTAGCTAGAGGAGAGTCAACGATAGAGTAGATGAGGTCAAGAGGGAGGTCTGTGCAGGGCCTTGTAGATGTTGTACCTACAGATTCTACCTAGGGAGAGTACACATGAAAAGAGAAGGAGGGTCCAACTTAAAGACCCAAGAAAAGAGACTGAAAAGGACAGCCACAATCAAAGGTGGAAGAACAAAGAGTATACGGTGAGCAAGCCAAAGAAAGACCGTTTCCAGAGGCAATGGCCAGCTGTAACAAATTACTGAAAATCCAGAGAAAATGAATACTTTAAATATGCATTGGATTTGTGACAGGAGGTTATAAGCAATTCTGAAAAGGGGGTTCTGTGCAAATATTGAGACAGAAGCTAGCTTAGAGGGAATTGAAATAGTGGAAAGTGAAGCAACAGAAATAACAGGTATAGAAAACTTGACAAATTGGCTTTAAAAAACAAGGGAGAGAGAGAAGTAGCTAGAGGGAGAAGTGAGTTGAAGTGTTTCTGTTTTGTTTTGTTTTCTTTTTTTAAGAGAAAGATTTGAGCTTGTTTAAATGCAGATAAGAGTCCAGTTAAAAGAAAGATCAAAAATACTGAAGGGAAAAGTGAGTATAGGTTTCCTGAGAATATGAGGGCAGGGTAAATTTAAACATAATTGTGGTGAAGAGAGGAAATACTTTTTTTTTTTAACAGGAAGAAAGTCTGAGAGTATGAGCCTGGGTGTGAATGATGCTAGGTTTGTAGTTTTTGTGACAGGAAGTTCCTTTGTAAAAGTTTCTATATTTTCTATGAAGTAGAAAGCAAGAACTCTGCTCAAAGTTAGGGAGATGATAGTGGTACTGAGAAAACTCAAAGAATCTGGAAGCTTTGCTAGGTAGGAATAAATGATATTTATTCAAGGGCCTTGGAGTTTTCAAACTAGAAACACAGCTAGACAATAAACCCAGAAGTGTTCCAAAGAAGAAAGTTAAAAGTTCTTATTATAAAAAGTACGTTCTTCTATCCTTAGTCCTAGGGCCCAATGGTTATCAGTCAGATGTCAGGCAGTCAGGATGATGGACTCCAGGTGAAGCCTCCATAAAAATCCGGAAGAACCGGGTTTAGAAAGCTTCTGTGTTGGTGAACCTGGAAGATGGGTGCCAGGGGTTCTGTTCATGTTCCAGTAGTCTGGATAATGGATGTCAGGTGTATATGTGAGTCCCTCATATAGTAATCAGGTGGCCTTGACATGTGAGTCCTTCAGGGAGTAATTAAGGGGTTACCTGGAAGTCCAGATGTAATTTCAGGCAATGACACAGGACTGGAAAGCAAAAAAGTGTAAGTTCTCAGGCTAGTTGGAACAAGAATGGAGTCTTCCCTCATGCCTCAACTGTCATAATGTTAATAATTTTAACAGCTTGGTTAAAATAACCGGTAACTTCATTTTGTATATTCCCCCTTCAGGGAGTAATTAAGGGGTTACCTGGAAGTCCAGATGTAATTTCAGGCAATGACACAGGACTGGAAAGCAAAAAAGTGTAAGTTCTCAGGCTAGTTGGAACAAGAATGGAGTCTTCCCTCATGCCTCAACCATCATAATGTTAATAATTTTAGCAGCTTGGTTAAAATAACCAGTAACTTCATTTTGTATATTCCTCATCTTTATTCTTTCCTCAAGGGTTAGAAGAAGGAGGAAGATTTGAAACAATCATTTACAAGAGTGGGAGAGTTGACCAGCAAAGTTTAGTAAGATCTCTGAGCATCGTTTAGGGCTCAGCTGAAACCAGAGGTTATGAATCAACAGTGATACCAGGCTGCCTTGTTGTGTGATTTTATCTAGTAACGGCTGCTTTGGTATTGGCTTTATCTTTCCAATACAAGTGACATAGAATTTTTTTAAAGATAATGATGAAAAAGTTGTGTGACAAAGCACTGTAGAACCATGGAAGGTTATTCTAGACATCCATCAGTTTGCTGTCATTGGAAATGTTAGTAGAACTAGGGAAACTATTTCTTATCAACACATATAGCTCTCAAATTTGTGCCTCCCTAATTCTAATGGGTTTATAAATATTAACTCAGGCAATTCTCTTATCAACTTTATGAGGTATCATCAATTTACAGAGGGGAAAAATCTGAAGTAAGTTGACCACAGGCACAGTGCAATAAGTGGCAGGGTCAGTACTGAGACTCAGGAGTCTATTTATAGACTACCCATTATTTATAGGTCTACCCATTTAACCACTATGCTAAGCTACTTTGAGAGAGAGAGAGCGAGCCTCCATAACTGTAGCAGCCATTCGGCAGGATTAGTCCTAAGAGTGAAGACAATCCCTGGGGAATTTAAAGTTTTCATTTAATAAATATTTATTGAGCGTTTACAATTTCTTTGCCAGGCATTGTGCTAGATGCTAGGATTATAGAACTAAAAGACATCTTTCATGCCCTGGAGGAGTTTGTCAGATAGTTGGGTGGTATAAACAGGCAACAGCTGATAAGTACTTCCCTTCCTTTCAAGTCAGCGAGAATAAGGTGAATCAAAGAAAACTCCAGAACCCTTTCCTTATCCTAGGTAATCTTTGGCTAGCCTCCTAAACTCCAGCTATTTATCTATCAAAAAGAAAGCAAAAGAAACCTGCATGACTCGATTAAAAAATAGAAATGATTCTGGCCAATCCTGAAGCAGGTCAACTGATGGGTCTTGGTGGATCATACTTTCCACAGACTACAAAGGTTCCAGGCCAAGCTAAGTCAGAAATGCTCAGCTTTTTAGAGACTGCCCTTAACGCCCTTATGGGATATGCTTGGTACATGCTTATTCTGGAGGGAATGTCTCAGGCCCACTGACCATATAGTCTTTTCTACAGCTACCAT